CACCCACCCGCGCCCACGCGACCTTCCCCGCGACCCACCCCGCGACCCACCCCGCGACCCACCCCGCGACCCACCCCGCGACCCAGCCCGCGACCCACCCGCGACCCATGCGCGACCCACCCGCGACCCACTTCGCGATCCACCCACATTGCCTGAACAAAAAGAAGAAATCGGCGCCTGCGGCGGGCTCAAGGCACAATTTCTAAATTAGGCGCCTGCGGCGGGCTTCTTCAGAGCCTCGCGGACTAACGACGTTCTCGCCGCCCTCCTCTTATTCGCAACTGCGGGGTGCTACTGTATGCGTGCGTATACATAATTATACATGGGTGGCGCAAGCCATGTGATGCGATCGGTTTTTTATCCATGAGTTGACACATCCCACGCTCTTGCAAATATTTAACCCACCCACCCACAATTTGGTTTACAAAACCATGCGGTGGCGATTGCGATGCATGCTTGCCGTTGGCTGGTGCATCTTTGCGGCCGCGCCAACCCTAGCACGCGCGCGCGCAGCGGCCAGCTAGTTTGGCGCCACCGACGCGGTCGCGGTGGCGTTGGCCGCTGGGCGCATCCCAGCGGTCACTCCACCGCGAGTCGGCGACTTGGACGGGCGCGGTACCATGGCAACGCCGCTTACGGTAGACGCGATGATGATGATGATGATGAGGAGGATGAGGATGAGGATGAGGATGAGGATGAGGATGAGGATGAGGATGAGGATGAGGATGAGGATGATGATGATGATGATGATGATGATGATGATGATGATGATGATGATGATGATGATGATGGTGATGATGATGATGATGATGATGATAGCGGCGATGCTGGTGACGGTGTTCGCACCGACGAAAACGCAGCCGGTGCGGGCGCCGATGCTGATCACGCCGACCACGATGGTGGCGTCCTTGCGTCGGTGGCGAAGGTTTTGGAAAGAGTTCGACATGCGCGCGGCTGACGCGCGAAAGTGGCCCGCATGGTCAATTTGACACGGATCGTGCCCCCCAGCACGCGCGAAGGACGTGCGAATGATGTCGGCATGCGGCGCCAGGGGCCAGCTCGGCATAATTCCATGAAGGTGATGAAAAGCCGACCGGTTGTTCAACAATTCGCATACGCGCGTAAGGTTTGTTTTGAAGACTGATGTTGCGAAACCTGGTGTGTTTTTTTTTTTTTTTTGAGAATGGTGCTTTGACATTCGACTTCGAAACCCATCCGAAACCAAAGGTTTTGAAGCTGGTTCCGGCATGCGCGCCCGACGACGCGCGCTTGAGCATTTCGTCACATGTTTTGCCAACGGTTCTCGCGACGGCACGCGCGCAAAGGCGTTCGAACCGACATGCGCGCGCGAAGCCCGTTTGATATCATTTGTGTTCGAAATGTTGGAAAACAATGGTTTTCTGAAGCATGTGCAAAAGAGCGCGCATATGTGTTTTGAACATCCGTGTTGCGAAACAACGTGTGTATTTGTTTTGGACACTCGATTCGTGAACCCTTCCGGAACCAGGCGTTGTTGAACGATTCTGCCATGCGCGAGCGACGACGCGCGCGTGTGCACTTCGTCACGTTTTTCTGTTGCAGCGGATCGTTGACAACTACTGACTTTTGATAAACAAATGCGCGCGCATAGTATCCTTTGCAGAGGACGGGAGGGGGCGCTACCAGTTCGGCTGAGATAGTACGAGTGCATATTTAGGATGGACGATGGGGCGAAATCGTATGAAACTTGCAATGCGAGGGCGTGGATTGATAAAGCCGCGGCGGGCCCTACTTTTTGTTAAGCACAGGATAATCGATGTAGTGCAAGCGATGTGGTACAATCCGTGCGGTGCAAGCTATACGGAGGAGGAGGAGGAGGAGGAGGAGGAGGAGGAGGAGGAGGAGGAGGCGGAGGCGGAGGCGGAGGAGGAGGAGGAGGAGGAGGACGACGACGAGGAGGATGAGGAGGATGAGGAGGAGCGAGGTCTCACGCGGCGTCCAAGGGGCCCCCGCACTCGCGCCGAGCCGTCGTTCGCTTGCGGGGGGGGCCGCGAGCCCGCGAATGCGGAAGGGGACGCCCGATGGCGCTGCGAGGGGCGGAGGAGGAGGTGGAGGAAGAGGTCGCCAGCGGATCCGTCTGCACTCGTGAGGTCTGGGGCGGCGAGGAGGAGGGAGGAGGAGAAACGAGAGGGGAGAAAGGCGGAGGATGAAGGGACGGAAGCGGAGGCGAAGTGGGAGGATAATGAGGGGCGAGGAACGAACGTTGCGGGAAAGGGGAGGTGGGAGGAGGAGGGATGAGGCGGTTGAGTACGAGTGGTAAGAGGAAGACGCGACGAGGAGGAGAATGAGAGGAGCAGGGCAGAGTAAGGAGAACGACGAAGAGCAGGAAAAGGTCGAGTAGGAAGACAGGGTGATACGGGGGATGAGCGAGGTGGAGGGCAGGGTGTGGTAGTTGAGAGGAGGGACAGGGAGCATCAGGGATGAAGGGCAGCAGTAGCAGGACGAACGGGCGAAAGAAAAGGGTTTGGGAACGAGGAATGAGCAGGTGGAGTAGGAGGTAGGAGGTACGACGATGAGGATGCAGGACGATGAGTGGGAGGAAGAGAAGGACCTCATAAGCAGGAGGAGGCAGGCAGCAGGAGTGGACGATGACGGGAAGGCGGTTGGCTGTTTCTAGGAGCTTATGCAAAGACAACGCTGGAGCTCTAATGTCGTTCAGATTGCGTTCGTTTCCTGCTGGGGCATCTATGGACCCATATGTGATATACCATGGTAATGTTATATATCAATGGTGTCGTGCGGTTTGGGATGGGTCTCTTGGGCTCCATATCATCCAGAAGGTGTTTGAGAAGGCTTCAGATGACCTTTGGAGATCCCGAAGGCCCTGGCACGTCTGTACCTCGCCTGCGCACGTATACTTACTGACTACGGCTGAGCTGGGTTGGAGACCGCTCTCAGCCAGAAAGATACGACTCTGCGACGGGGATATGATCGACCTGCTGGAGCTTGCACCGCTGGCAATCAGAATGCTTGCGGAGCGTGATGCAGGACACTGGGCTGACAAAAGGGCCCTCATGAAAAGACCTAAGTGTAGCAATGTCTGGTGTAGGCCTGTGTATTGGGAAGGGGCCAGGAGTTTGATGTCTGGTAAAACCTCGGGATCCTGGACCAAGCACCACCAGGCTTGCGCCAGAAACACCTTTTCCCTGGGAACCTGGACGCAGGCCCGCCTGAAGGATCACGGGCTAGCCGAGGAGGATCTCTGCCAGCTTTGCCGTGCCGAGCGAGGAACTCTGTACCACAGGCGCTTCAGGTGCGAGGCTTTCCTGGAGGACAGAGGCATGCATCTCTCGACGCAGTGCATGCAGGCCGCCCGCTATGCTCGTGACATGAATCAGGATTTGGAAAAGTTTGCCGCCGGTGTGCTACCCTTTCCCAAAGAACTGATCCCGCAGCCCCTAGGTAGAGATAAATGTTCTATTTGTTGGTTCAACAAGCCAGCCTCAGGTAAACTCCAGGGTTGGTTTTCTCCGACGGGTCCGCGGTCCACCCCACCTGTGAGCTCAGGAGGCGTGCGGGGTGGAGCCTCGTACAGGTTAGCTCCCAAGGGGAGCTATTGTGTGCTGCCTTCGGACCCGTGCCCAGGGAGGTTGCACCTAGCCAGCAGGCCAGGGATGGTGAGGACTATGCCAGCAGGATGGCGGCTGAGCTGGTTGACCCTTTTTCCGACTTTGAGATTTGCACTGACTGTTCGGGGATTCTCGGGTGTGTGTGGGATAGGGCCAAGAGTTGCTCGTCCCAGAATTCCAGGGCGCACATCTGGAGTTTTGTTTGGCACGTTTTTGAGGACGGTCTGAAGGCCAGGAAGGTCAAAGGACACGCCACGATGGCTGATGTTCTAAATGGGGTGTGCAGTGAATTTGATAGGCTCGGCAATAAGCATGCGGATCGTTTTGCCAGGCTCGGAGCAGGCATGCATCCCATGCCCGATATGATGGTTCAGGTCGTCGACTCCTGTCGGTCGGTACAAGAAGAGATCGTCCGATGGGGAGCCATTCAGGATGTGATAATGGCCGATAGAGGTTGGGCTGACGCGTCTGGGTTCCCTGGGCCCTCCGAGGCTGAGAAATCTGAGCGCGATTTCCCCATCCGTCATATGAAGGGCCAAATTCGGTGCCAGGCCAGAGCTCTGCGCCAGCTCTCGGCGCCATGGTGGCCTCGAGTAGACTTTCGAGTGCCGATCCTCTCGGACACAGGGGCCGAGAACCCTGGTGGACCTGAGCAGCTGTCTGAGCTTGCCTTGCTGTCCCGCCTCCAGGGGCACAACCTTTGCAAGGCAAAGGTATTCGTGGGGGACGGGAGTCGGGCGGCTGGGAGTGGGTGGGTGATGTCGTGCATTCGCTGTGGAGGCTATGCGTGGGCTGGAGTTGCCTCGCTAGCCAACAAATACCCTGGCCACCCCCCCACTAAGGACCTCAGGCGCCAGAGGACGAGGTTTGCCAAGGGTGATTTTCCCAGCTGGGCTCGGCAGTACAAAGGTTGGTCGGTCACAGGGCACCGATCGCCAACCCCCCTGGATCTTGGTTCCCTTGTCCGTGCGGCGCGCAAAGGGGTCCAGGTCTTAGGGGGGGCTGAGCCAGAGGCGAGTGATTTCGTTGATAGCCTATGGGAGGAGAAGTGGACCCCTGGTCAGCTCCTCTCAAGTTTTGGCTTAGTTTGTCCAGCCGAGGCTGATCAAGGTATCGTGTCCTGAGCTGTGTCTGTTGCTAGGGGCGGGTGGCACTGACACCTGCCTCCACAGTGAAACTGAAAGAAAAAAAAGCAGGAGGCAGGAGGCGGAGGAGGAGGCAGGATGGAGGAGGAGGAGGAGGAGGAGGAGGAGGAGGAGGAGGAGGAGGAGGGGGAGGAGAAGGGGGAGGAGGAGGAGGAGGAGGAGGAGAGGAGGAGGAGGAGGAGGAGGAGGAGGAGGAAGGACGACAGATGTGGGAACAGCAGCCGTCCTTTCCCGCCGCGGCCTCCAGGGAGAAGGAGGACCCGTACCGATTCCTGGCGGTCCAGGCGCGCCACACCGTGCCTCTGCCGCGCGCGTGGGGGACCCTCCCTCCCTCATCTCTCCCCCGCCCCTCGCCCCTCCCTCCCCCGCCCCTCGCCACTCCCTCGTCTCTCCCCCACCCCTCGCCCGTGTGCCATCCACAGTCCGCCGTCGTCTCCGTTGTCGCCGTCGGCCGTCGCCCCCCCACCAGGACTGCACGCACGCCCGCGCCAGGGGGCGAGAGGGGTGTTTTCTCGACCAGGTCCGACTGGCCACACCCGCCGCCGAGAAGCGTCAGCCCTCGGGCCTCCCCCCGGCCTCCCAGACGGCAGGGGGACCAACCCGAACTCACGGCATCTGTGGGCCGAGCTCTCTGGCCCGCTGTTATGGGCGCCGCCGTGCCTGCGAAGCGCGACGGCTGCCACGTGCACGGGCCAGCGCGGCGTTTCGCAGTGCGCCGCCCGCCCACGAGCTCTCTCGCAGGAAAGTGGAGCCGCGTGCCACCTTGCGCGGCCGGCGCCGCGCGCAGAGGGGGGGAAGCGGGGAGGAGGGGCAGGTTCCTTGGAAGCACCTTCCAAGATGCAGCCTCCATCTAAGAAGCCTTCCCCCCTCCCCCTTCCTCCTCATCCTCCTCCGCCTCCTCCTCCCCCTCCTCCTCCTCCTCCCCTCCTCCTCCTCCTCCTCCTCTCCTCCTCCTCCTCCTCCTCCTCCTCCTCCTCCTCCGCCTCCTCCGCCTCCTCCTCCCTCCTCCTCCTCCTCCTCCTCCTCCTCCTCCTCCTCCTCCTCCTCCTCCTCCTCCTCCTCCTCCTCCTCCTCCTCCTCGTCATCAGAGATGCAGCCTCCGTCTAGCGCGCCGCCGAGTTTCGACGAGGCGAAGCGCGCGCGCGCGCTGGGCGGCGTCGGCTCGCGCGGCTGGCGCGGACGTCTGCGGAGGCGGGCCGCCGCTCGCGGGCTGGGCGGCGCTACGCGCGGGCGGCCGCGCGCCCACCCCGGGGGAGACAGGGGGCCAGAGGGAGCCGTGCGCCCGCCCCGCACCCAAACGCGCGTCGAGGTGGAGGAGGAGGAGGAGGAGGAGGAGGAGGAGGAGGAGGAGGAGGAGGAGGAAGGGGAGAGGAGGAGGGAAAGGAGGAGGAGCAGGAGGATGAGGATGAGCAGGAGCAAGAGGAGGAGGAGGAGGAGAGGAGGAGGAGGAGGAGGAGGAGGAGGAGGAGGAGGAGGACGAGGACGGAGGACGGAGGACGAGGACGAGGACGAGGACGAGGACGAGGACGAGGGACGAGGACGAGGACGAGGACGGACGAGGACGAGGAGGAGGAGGAGGAGGAGGAGGAGGAGGACGAGGACGAGGACGAGGACGAGGACGAGGACGAGGACGAGGACGAGGACGAGGACGAGGAGGAGGAGGAGGAGGAGGAGGAGGAGGACGAGGACGAGGACGAGGAGCGGCCGGCGGTTGCGGCGGGCAAGGCCAGGCCAGTTCGCGCGCGGGGGCCACGCAACCCCAGTCGCGCGCTCGCCCAGCGCGCATGCCAGGCATCAAAATTAGCAGGCGCACCATCGCGGGCCGCGACGCAAACATGCAGGCAGGACGGAAGAGTTCGCTGGGGCTGGTAGACGCGAGCCCGCGTAATCGGTGCGACGGCGCAGCCCAGCGCGCTGCACGACCGCGCAGGCCGCTCAGCCATGCTCGCGGGAAACCATTGAGCTATTCATTCCGGCAAAGCCTGCGGCGGTGGCTCGACACCCTCAGGCAAAGTCGTTCTGAAGCGCACATTCGGCGGCGACAAAACGAGCGTCAGCCAGCCATGCTGTTTGCGGACGCCAGGGGGAAACCAGCGAAAGTGGCGGCGGCCTTGGCGGTGGACGGCCGACTTGTTCTGTGCGCCACCGCGCCACCGCCGGCTTTGATGCGGCGCGCGCACCAATTGCCCTGCGCGCTTCCGCATCGTGCCAGCACCTTCCACCCCACTAGCCTACGGGGGTCAGCGCGCCAGGTCGTCGGACCCAAGCCCGTAATAATTTTACAAACCCTTTGTGTGTCCAGGGTTGCGTAAGCCTTGGGGCAATCCACGACATGCCTCGAGGCACGGCGGCGGATAGATAAATCTCCCTTGTCGCACCCGTAGAAGTGTTGGCAGGATGGGCAGGGCGTTTCGCCAGTGATTTCCTCATCAACTATGATCTTGAAATTTGGAGTTTGCCAGCGCTTCACGGATGTAGGGCGGGCCTTGCGCAAAATGCGGTTCTCGTTTCAAGGCCGCGCACATTCGTTTTGAATGTGTGCAACAATTTAAAGGACGAAGGTTTGGTGGCATCCAACATGATGTTCTCGCGTTAGCGCCGCGCACACTCGTCTCAAACACCCGCAACAGTGTCACTGAGACGGGCTTTTGTTTCACAATGTGGCTCTCGCCTCGGCGCCGCGCACATTCGTCTTAAGGGCTTGCAACAGCTTCAAAGTTCATGCGGTTGAAGTCCCAGGAGCTGCGCTGTGGTACGATTCGGAATTGGCAGGATTGATCCGCGGCGTGCAAGTCCCAGGAATGGTGTTCCGGCACGGTTTGGAATTGTCAGGACGCACCAGTCACGTTGATCCGCGGCGCTGATGTTCGAAGAAAAAACCACATCAACAAAAACTTTTAGCGCTCCGTGCGGATTTCTTGGATCCGCGCCTGGGACCCCCAGCGACGCCTCCGGCGCGCCCCTGGCGCGCTCCGCGCGCCAGGGAGGGGGGTCCATCGCGAATCCAAGAAATCCGCGCGGAGCGCCAAACGTGTATGTTGATGTGGGTTTCTCTGTTTCTAGATGTCCCAGGAATGCACCAGGGTTTCGCGCCAGCCCCGAGCCGAGCTTTGCGAGGACGGACTCCCCCCTTCCCCATCCTTCTCCCTTCCCGCCCCCCCCCCTCCCAGCCCCCCCCTCGTCCTTCCTCCATCCCCGCCGCCCGCCAGGGCACCTACGACATGCTCGACAAGGGCGGGTCCAAGATCCTGCCG